GCCCCGTTCCCCCCCAGCCGCCCTGTTCCCAGAGGAAGGCCAACAGAGAATCACAGTCTACGGCCCCAGCAGTCACTTTGGGCCTGCAGGCTCTTATTTCAGGCACCCTGGGTACCTTCCTAAGAAGCCACTTGAAGTGGAAAATGTAACAGGGCTGTCCATGTTCCTGATTCCTCTTTGAAGCCATTCATGACTTTCACAAAACCAGCTGCCACAATCCCATTTTAAGTCACCATTCCTTCTCCTTTTCCCCCAAATCACCAAAACCATTATTTCTACCCCAAATGGTTTGTTCATTTTTGTACCAAGCATGTCTTCTCCTCAAACAAGAAAAAGGATACTTGTAACATAATTGAAAAAATTCTCATATTGGAAGTTTCCTTGCTGGCAAATCTTATTGACGGCTTTCAAGAAAAGGGTCTCTCCCCGCGGCCACTCCTGCTCAAGCAGCACGATCACGTGCCCCAGCGCCATGTCGTCTCTGCTGTCCGTGAAGGCTCTCAGCTGCAGGACAGAGGGGAGGGAGTCACGGGGTGATCTCACACATGCCCGATACCACGTCCCCCAAAACGCTGTTGCAGGAAAGTGCGTGACTACGGTCACTAGTCAGAAGGGACAGCAGAAGTCAAGCCTGCCTGGCAAATGTCACTGCTGCTGGCGAGGAGGGGCCCCACCACAGAACCCGGCTCCCCGGCACCCTCGTGAGCATCCTGGCCGGAGCGGGACATGCAGGGTGGGCCCGAGGCACCCCCTGCTGAAGCAGCACGATCACGTGCCCCAGCGCCATGTCGTCTCTGCTGTCCGTGAAGGCTCTCAGCTGCAGGACAGAGGGGAGGGAGTCACGGGGTGATCTCACACATGCCCGATACCACGTCCCCCAAAACGCTGTTGCAGGAAAGTGCGTGACTACGGTCACTAGTCAGAAGGGACAGCAGAAGTCAAGCCTGCCTGGCAAATGTCACTGCTGCTGGCGAGGAGGGGCCCCACCACAGAACCCGGCTCCCCGGCACCCTCGTGAGCATCCTGGCCGGAGCGGGACATGCAGGGTGGGCCCGAGGCACTGAACGCGGGGATGAGGGCGCGAGGAAGGTGAGCGGTCTGGGCAACAGAGGAGAATTTGGGGACTTCTTTTAAGGGGCCGGGGGGTGGGATGGAGGGTGGGCTAGAGGCCCCCTTAGACAGAGGGGTCTGAGGAGACCGTGGGACTGGGGAGAAAGGCCAGCGGGAGCCACGGGAAGGAGGATGCAGGGGTGTGAAGTGAGAAGCTGTCAAAGGGCTTCTGGTTCTAAACCGGTAGCTGTGCCTGAAGTCACTTCAAATTGTTTCTGCCGCCTCAATGCTTCAGATCAAGAGTCAGGTTTGGGAATTACCCCCCTGAAGGGGAGACCTGACACTGCTGCCCGCTGCTCATGAGCCTTCGTAGACAATTCAGCCTGTCCGCCCCAGGCCTCCGCTCCCCACAGCCCGGTCCTTAGACTTTCCTGACTCTGCTGGGCCTCTGCACGTGCCCAGCCTCATGCCCTATCCCTGTGATAATGAACTCACATCCCTCCATAAGCCCAACAGCACTTGTGCTCCCTTCTTCTGTAGCTAATATATCCTGAATCGTAGGCTAATTCATAAAATATTTACTGGACACTACCATAGGCAAGGTTATTTGTGTATCCACCCAACTATTACCTGTAAGTTATCTGTCTCACTGTTACCCATAAACCTCTCGAGGATGGGGATTATTTCCTACTCATCTTTGCCTAGTGCAGTCGATATTTAATAACTATTTGTTAATTCCTTACCCATGTGCTTTCCTCACTACACCAACCTGTTTTCAAAGGACTAAACTAACATTTGTGCCTAAGGCTCTCAATTCAAGTCATTCCAGCTCATCAGAACAATCTTTCAAATTAATTTCCTTTACACTAATCAATGTGAAGCTTACCTTAAAACAAGCTAACATTAAGTGCAGGCAATAGGGCATGAGCGCCTTGCTGGTACAAGGCAGAAGCTTCAGATCTGAACCTAAGAAAAGTCCACAATATATTTGTTAGTAGCAAAGAAAAGAGCTTTGAGCAGCAAATGTTTAAAGTGCTTTCCTTAAAAGGAAAAGGATAAGCAACAATCACATGGTCTCAACACAGTTAAACCACAATTACATTTAGTGAAGGTGAAACTGGTTTTTCAATCGTCTCTGGATTTCATTTCTCAATCTAAATTTCTAAAGTTGCTTAAATACTTATTATTATGAAACATTTCAAATATATAGAAAATGACAGAGATTATGACAAACAGCAGAGTGCTCACCACTCAGCTGTATAAAATGCTGACATCTGCTTTAGTTTTAGATTTTAATACAAAGCATTGCGAGCTCACTTCTCTTCTGATGCCACTCCTGCCTCCCTCCTGAGAGAAGACTGCTATTCTGAACGGGGGATCATCATTCCTGTGCACACTGCCTGCTTTTAACACAGGAATCTATATTCACGCACCACAGAGAAACGTTTCGTGTGTTTTCAGTCTACTATATAAATGGTGTCATAGCGTACATATCTTTCTGCAGATTGTTTTTGGTACTAATATCTGTGGCTCTAGCTCATTGGTTTTCTGTGTTATGTAGTGTTCTGTTGATTACACTGACCACACCTGATTTATCCATTCTTTTATGGTAAACACTGAGTATTCCAATTTTTCACTATTACCAACAATGCTGAAATAAACATTCTTATACATATTTTCTTGTGCACTTGTGGAAAAAACTTTAAGCAATGGTTGTTTTTCAAACCAAGACCATAGTCCTTTCCTTTATGCTGTGTGCTCTTTCTATCCTAAATCCTCTCTACCCCAGAGGCAAGAAGTAGCAAGAAATAAATATGCTTTTCACGTGGCAACCCTGTGCACACACACTTACACATGTTCATACAGCTGGCTCCTGAGCAACACAGGTCTAAACTGCACGGGTCCACTTATACATGGATTTTTCAGTAAATACAGTGTCTGCATTTTCATCTTACAGATCTCTAAATGAACTGTGGGGAAAAGTTTGTATTGGATTAGAGATCACAACATGTGGAATCAAAAGAATTGTGGTCTGAGCCCTGATTTTATCCAAACTGTTCCAGCTTCCTGCCCTAGGCTGAGTCACTGGTCAGTTCCTGTTTTTGAGGCAGAGAGCAGTACCCAGATTTTCGACCGTGGCGGGGAGGGGTGGGTCTGAGCCCCTGGGTTAACTCCTGCATTGTTCAAGGGTCAACTGCGTGTCTAAAACAAAAGGTTCATGAAATAAAATTTACCCTCTTTAGTGGAGATACATTCATTTTAATAATACTGTTACAGTCTATCTCATTAAAAAAGAAAATTTCTATGGGAAATTCATGACCCAGTAGGTGAGGGCCCAAGTTTGGAGATCACTGATCTAAAGTCTATACCTGGAAGGGGCACATAACCAGGTAGTGAGATATGCAACTTGGTACGGCTAAACTGCTCTCCAAAGTGACCATATGAATCTATGCGCCTTCCAGAAGCACGTGGGCGATGCGTATCTTCACGTCCTGATGGTCAATATGGCCACCCTTTACTCTCTGCATCCTGATGTAAAATGATAGCTTATTGTTTTAATCTGAATTTCCTGTATTAATAATAGGTGGAGAATCTTTCCAAGTAGTTTTTGGCCATTTGGCTTCTGTGAATCTGTTGTTCATATTTTTTGCCTATTTTTCTATGGGGGGTTGGTTATTTGTTTCTTATAGGAGCTCTTTCAAAATTCTGGATACTAATTTTTTGTTGAATATATAAGTATATAAATATATAAATTGTGCCGGACAATTTTCTTATAGTCTATAGCTTTTCACTTTGATCATAATATCTTTTGTTGGTATTTTGATTTTAACGTGATCAGATTCACTAATCTTTTATGTCGTGTGCTCTTTGTAGCCTAAATCCTTCTCTAACTAGAAAGCAACAAAGATCGTCTTCTGTATTTTCTTCTAAAAGTTTAAAAGTTTTAGTTTTAATATTTAAATCTTAAAATTTAAAGAGTTCTTGTGTAGTATGAAGGAGGAATCTCTTTTCTGTCGTTTTTGTATTTGGATCATCAACTGTAACAGTACCACTTACAGGATAAATTCATTCTTCCTCCCCTGAACTGTAATGCTACCAGTTTCTTCGTTCTCTATTCTGTTCCTGGGGTCAATCTCTACGCCAATGCTACACTTTAAAATTAGTCTTGATGTCCGCTAGGTCAAGTCTTACCCACCTGATCTGTTTCTGTTCCACAGAGATATTAATTTTTGAAGGGGTCTGGGCTATGTCTATTTTTTTCAACCTTTTGTTGTGGAAAATCCCAAACATATAAAAAGTAAACAGAATAGTATAATGAACTCCCAATAAGTATCAAAACTGTCATGCTTTTGTCTTCTAGAAAGCTTTCAGTGTCCTAAGGAACCTACTACCAGTCTCAAAGAAATTTTCTTCTAAAAAAATGTTATCATTTAGCTTCTCCACTTAGTCTCTCTGCTCCAGCTCAAATTACTTTTTGGGAAAAATATGAGGTAGGAGGTGAGGATTTTTTTTCCTTCTACATGAAGATCCCTTTGTTCCAGCACCATTTGTTGAAAAGGCTTTCCTTTCTCCATTGAATTACTTTGGCATCTTTATGGAAAATCATTTGACCATACTTATGTGGGTCCATTTCTGGATTCTCCAATCTTGTGCCAATACTGTCTGGATAACTGTAGCTTTATATTAAACCCTGCTATCAGGTAGGGTCACTTGTCATTTTGTTAGTCTTTTTCAAAACTGTTGTAGTAGTTCCATATAAATTTTAGAATCAGTTTGTCAACTTCTGTTAAAAAAAAAAGTCTGCTGGGATTTTAACTGGGATTGCATTGAATCTATAGAGACATTTGGGGAGAACTGGTATCCTAACAATATTGAGTCTTCTAACCTACAAACATGATTTTGCACATCTTTCACTGAATTTATCCCTAAGTATTTTATGGGTTTTGATGTTATTCTATTTGGAGATTCCTTGACTTTTCTATGTAGCCAAATATGTAGCTGTGAATAAAAACGGTTCTTTTTCAACCTTTCTTTTTCTTGCTTATTGTGTTTGCTAGAATCTCCAGGATGTTGAATTGAGGTGCTGACAGCAGACACCCCTGTACTGCTGCTGGTCTTGGGGAAAGCATTCAATATTTCATAGTTAAGAATGATGCTGAGGAAGTTTCCTCCTATCTCTAGTTTACTAAGATTTAAAAAAAATCATGAATGATAAATGCAGACATAATTGAATTCTGTCTGCATCTATTAAGATAATCTTATGATTTTTCTCCTTTAATCTGCTAATGTGGTGAACTGCAGTGATTGGTTTTCCTGTGTTAAACCACCTCTGCATTCCCGGTATACTTGGCTGTTATGTATTATCTTTCTTATATATGGCTGTATTTGCTTATATTTTGTTAAGAATTTTGGCATCTAAGATCATGATAGACACTGGCCTTTAATGTTCTTCTCTTGTTTCGTTTTGCTATCAGGGTTATGTTGGTCTTAAAAACTGAATTGGTAAGTGTTCCCTCTTTCTCTGTTTTCTCCAAAAGTGTGTACAGGATTGGAGTTATTTCTTACTAAATGCTTGACAAGATTCACAGTGAAGCCAAATGGGCCTGGAGTTTTCTTTGTGGGAAAGTTTTCGACAACAAAATTTAATTTCTTTGATAGATATAAAACATTCAGATTTTCTATTTCGTTTTGTGTCTGTTTTGGTAAGTTGTGTTTTTCAAGGAATTCTTTCCATTTCACCTAAATTGTTAAATTTATTGGCATAAAGTTATTCACAACCTATTCTCTTACTGTCCTTCTGGTTTCAGCACGATCTGGAGTGACATTCCCTCTTCCATTCCTGATACTGGTTATTTGTATTTACTACCTTCCTGGTCAATCTTGTTAGGGGTTCATCAATTTCATTAGTTTTTTTCAGAAAACCGACTTTTTGCTTTATTAATTTCTTCTATTTTTTTTCTATTTCATTCGTTTCTGCTCTTGTCTTTATTATTCCCCGTTTTCTACTTGGCTTGGGTTTGACAGATTACCTTTTTCCAACTTCTAAGATGGAACTTAGATCATGACAGTGGTGCTCTCTTCCTTTCCTATGAAGCATCACAGCTCAATTTACGTCGTCTTTCAACAATAAGCAACTTGAGGTAAAGCTCAAAACAGCCCAAGAGAGACAAGCTAAGAGATCCTTCTCAGCTAAGCATTACAAGATTTCCTAGAATTGGTAAAGATAGGAAAAGGAGCTCACTGATATTCTTCAAAGAGCCAACAAACTCAGGAACTGACGAGAACTTTGGAAGAAGGGCAGATGTATGGCCGCTTATGAAATCAGAGCCACGAAAAGCTTGGCGAGCACTTCACTTCTTAGACAATTTGTCAAGCTCTGCAGATCCCATGGTATTATGTTGTCAGGAATTACAAAAAATTCCCAGCCTTAGGTCCTAAAGCTATTTCTATAAAATAAAAATAAAATTTGTCACTGTACCTTTTCTAAACTTGGGCTTTATTTTTGAGGGTTCTTCCTGTGACTTGCCTCCGTCCTGGATGGGGAGGACCATGTAGCACATCAAATCAAGGACTTTCTCACACGTCATCTAGAGAAGACAAGACCAGAAGGAACTAACTGAAAGTTTCTGACTGAAACCAAATCTACGTAACTAAAACCTATGCAGCACAAGTGGGGCCACCTGTGCACAGAGCTCGGGAGCACGGCCCCAGGGCGCCACATGACCAGTACTGTCTGCTTGACACCGAGTGTAGAAAAATAACAGATTAAATCCACGTACTAGACCATTCAGGAAACACTAACTCATTCTTCACTGTTAAAAAACAAAAGAACAGGGCTTCCCTGGTGGCGCAGTGGTTGGGAGTCCGCCTGCCGATGTGGGGGACACGGGTTCGTGCCCCGGTCCGGGAAGATCCCACATGCCGCGGAGCGGCTGGGCCCGTGAGCCATGGCCGCTGAGCCTGCGCGTCCGGAGCCTGTGCTCCGCAACGGGAGAGGCCACAAAGGTGAGAGGCCCGCGTACTGCAAAAAAAAAAAAGAACAAAACCTAAAAATTAATCAAGTATTAACTAAACTACCAAAGTGTTTCACAGCACAGTGGAATCCAAAAGAAGTATGTCCCTATCTTAAGGACATTTACTAACTCGCTGAATAGAAAAATTAACAAAATGGGACACGTGGTGGACTAAAATGTTATGTTTAGAGCATAATTTAAAACTAAGTAGAAACACCCACAGGCTAAACTAGCAGGAAAAATTTCAGGCAGGGAGGTGATCTAAGCCTTAAAGGGGGGCAGGATCTGAAATATGGAAAAGAGAAAAATGGGTTTTCAAAGGAGCAGAGAAAGATGACGTGGGGAAGGCTTTCTACTGGTTTTGGTGATTCCCTTGAAGGGAAGGAGGGCGTGGTTTAGGAAACAGACATGAAACTGGACCAATGACGTGCTGCTGGATGAGAGGCGGCCCCAGGTGCCCACGGAGCAGGTGGTCTCAAGCCACAGAGAGCAGGGCATCACCTTCTGTCCACCCATCAGTCAGAATCGGCTGAGGGAGCATTTCCTGTGTGTCAGGCACAACCCCCTACTACCCCCATTTTACAGATGACGAAGTGGAATCTTAAATCCATGCTTCCCAACCTTTTTCATGTCTTGGCACTTCCAGAAAATAGTATTTGTAAGGCTGCTCAGCGCTGGCAGCAAATGATCCGGGGTTTAGCTGCCCAAGCCACAGCTAACTGCCTGGGGCTGAGGGGTCGGTATCATGGCACATCCAGAATCACCCATGGCCACAGGGTCGTGAAGCTCCAGCTTTGAGAGATCGGCAGCTGGGGAGTTAAGAACTTGAACCCTGGAGTTAGACAGGTCACAGCGCTAGTGAGTAGTGAGACCGGGAGTTAACTCAGAATCATATGCCGCCATCCTTCCTTCAATACCCACCTTCTTTCCCCGACGGTGCGGGCCTGGGTGAAACCACCCTTCCCTGAATGACTGCTGTGCACAGGTCTGAGGCAAACTGCTAGCACTGGATTTTTAACTATCTTACATAAACACCTGCACTTCTCTCTCCAACTCAAATTAGATGTCCTTGAACATAGGGATCCCACCCTGGGGCACCCAGGAAGTCAACACCTCGATGAAATGGAATGATGAGAGCAATGTTGTAGAGGGCTGACCATAACTTATAGGGTTGGAAAAATGGTTACAGGCAACAAACTCGGTTAAAAGCTGTGGGTTAGGGTGGTGGCAGTGGAAAAAGGCACTATGCCAAAAGCACTGGTGCCCCATCCTGGAAGAGACAAAAGGACCAGCTTGAGAAAAAGTCTCTGTGACTTGACAGGTGGTGTCTAAGGTCCAGAGAACTAAGAAAATGCACATCTGGACAAGCTGAGTCCCAGCCAAAGACAGGCAGTCAGAGACTCAGGAATCGGGTAAGGTAGAAACCAAAGATGAAAGCCTAAGAGTGACCCGCACGGAGGTGGTAACAGGAGCCCTCAGAGAGAATGAGTCTGCGTAGCTTAATCAAATCTACCAGTTTATTGTACGCTCCCTTGTACAATGTAGAACAGCAGTACCGTGCACGGCTGTCTAATTCTACATGACACATGTGTATCTGTGTGCATAACTATGTGCTCTCTTAAGTTCTGAAAAGGAATCAACTGAAACTTAGAATTAGGCACCTGACAACATAAGTGATGGTAGAAAAGCATTTCAATTTTAAATGCACATACTTCACATACTTATTAACTTTTTCTTTCTAAAATTCATCAAGGCAAATTGTAAATCATATTTCAAAGTTCAAGTGAAAAAATTTAATTTAGGTTTTTAATCACAAAGTAATCAACTTAACATACAGAGAGACAAGAAGAAATCCGAGTTGGTGTGTTAAGGTGTGACCTGAATCTATCCAGTAACTGTGCGTATAAAGCTGCGCTGGTCACGCTCACCGCATGCAGGTGTTTACTGCGGACCGAAGCTGTGCGGCCACCAGGCAAGGAGGGGCTCACAGCATGGAGAAGACAGGTCTGTTCACACAGCTGCTCCTGCAACACCCCTAGGAGGTGTCTCTACCACGTAAAAAGAGAACCTGAGGTTCAGATATGCTATTGTGAATCTCCATCTCCCACTGGGTGAAGGCCTCTTCTGTCCAAGTACAAGAGGACTGACTCCACTCTAAAGGGATTCCAGGCAAGAAAGTAAAAATCATCCTCAAACAAATGGAATAATGAGCGGGAAATGTGAAAAGTATGGAAGCCTAACTTGAGGGAAGCTATAGAAAGGAGGAAATTAAACAGCATCACTAAGCTTTTCACCAGCAGATTAGATAATAAAATCTAGGCAGAAAGAGCTAGCTTCAAGTAAACATGCACTGAATTAAAAAGCCACTCCGGGGAAAAAAAAAAAGAAAGCCCCAGGGTCATCGAGTGCTCCTGTGTGTCCCCGTGCCAGGCACCCAGTACTCACTCTGTATTCCCCCAAGGCAAAGTGGCAGGTCGCCAGCTGGATGAGCGCCCTCTGATGCTCCAAGGTCCCCTGTCCCGAGATCTGTGGCTGAGGAAGTGGTCCCTGGAGAGCTGCCAAGTGGTGCAGGCTGGCTATGGCCTTTTTATATTGACCCTTAGAAAGTCGCAGCAAGGAGGGAAACACAGTGCCATTAAAGAATCTCCAGAGCGAATTACGCCCCTAGCAATGCAACCACAAATCAGGCACCTGTGCTTAATCATTTGAGGAGGGAATGGACACAGCTACAGAATCAAACCAACTTAGCTAAAGCTCCGTGGAGGATCTGTAGGGGGACTTCATAAATACAAAGATTTTTCTTTCTAGTCTTAATTCTTGAGACTAAATAAAATGGCACAAGCTCTTTGGTAGAGTACATTCTGGATATACCACTTCTTTATGAATATTTTACTACTAATACCATTTCTCCTTCATGAAGGCTGGAAGCTGCAACCTGCCTATTTCAACAACGGGGGTTGGAAGCTCTCCCTCTCGTTACTGAATCCTCTCTCGCTTCTGGACATAAGTAGCTCGAGGACACAGAGCAAGGCAGCAGGGCTCCCCCAGAGCAGAGAGGAGGGGTGAGCAGTGTTTGTCTTTCACTGAGAAATAAAACTCTTACTTTTACAGAGGGGTGTGATTGGACCCCCCAAAAGTAACCCAGATGTGGGCCTGCCGTCCGGAGCTGTCCTCAGCTGAAAGTGGACCACAATCCCCTCTCATCAGTGAAGACAGAACATCTGCCTTCAGAGCAGGAGGAAACGCACACACCTTCACGCTGAAGATGCTCGCAGCAACCGTGGTCCTGTCAAGACACAGGTACTTAAACACACATTACCTGATAGATGATCACATCGTTGAGGAAGATTCTCAACCAAAGCCAAGTATCCGTCTTCCACGCCAAACAAATTCTTGTAAATTCTGAGCAAGAATTCAAAAGCTAATTTACCAGAAATATGTAACACAGAAGCAGAGAATAAAACTGACATACCCACCAACAGAACGACAGTCAGAGAGAAACAAATTACCAAAAAATGGATGCAACTTTAGACTTTGATTTCTAAAACAATGGTCTGGACTTTCAGTTAGATAGTAAAGTTAGGGCAGAATACTTACCAGTAATATACAAGCAATAACCTTATTAGGCACCAACACTTACTAAGCACACATCATGGGCTAGCAGCTGCTCAAAATGCTTTTCACACACTACTTTATCTTTTAAACTGCTTTGTTTTCACCCAGTTGAAGTAATAAATATATGACACTAAGAGTTTCACTCACTTTTTAAAGTCGATTTATACCTAAAGAAAAACATCCCCTCCAAAAGTCACATACCTGTTCACCATTCTAGATGTGACAAGGAGGAACTGGATGATGCAATGTTTACTTAGAAACTATGACATGACACATCAAACAAGGGGCCTGTATAGGCACGCGACAGGAGCAGGCCAGGGACAAATGTCCACTGGCCAGGAGGAAAGTAACGGCCTTGATCCCAAAGTATAGGAAAATATGCTGGTTAGCAGAGTGCTAGTGATTTCTGAGTAGTGTTGAAATACTCAGTAGTGTAAATATTATACAGAGGAAACTCCCTCTCATTTCTGTCTATGCTCAAAGTGGGCTTTCTGCAGTGTTTGGAATTTGGGCTTTCAAGCAACGGAGTCAAGTCAGGCATCACAGCACCACCTTCTGCAGCCTTAGTCACATGTGGCTGGAGGGGGCACAAAGCAGTGGGCAGAGAGACTAAAAGCACCAGACAAACCCAGCAAGAAAAAAGGCCAGCAATATAAATTTTAACAGAAAGACCAAACCGCCCCCTCCAAGTCCACCCCAACCCTGATTATAATACACCCCCAGTGCAGGAGCTAAGAGGTAAATGGTTATTTGAATATTTATAACTGATTAGATTTCCTGCTCAAAAAAGAATCCTATGAAATGTGTGAACTACTGTAATCAATTTAATTAGCTGTTAGTGACTTGACATTTCGAGTAGAATAATGAACCTTTTCGGCATGATGATTTCACATAAAAAATGAAATATCACAACAGGATAAGCATGCCTTACCCTTGTCAAGGAATTCCAGGGAATAGAGCAGCTCCCAGCTCTCTCTGGCCAGCTTAAAGCTTTCCAGCACCTCGACTGAGTTAGCAAGTTCTGCCTTATTGACAACAATGTGACGATTCCTTCCTTTTGCTGAACAGTCTTCATCGTCTGAACTCTGCTTAGAGAATGTGAAGAACATGATTAAAGTTATAAAGATAGTCACTACTTAAACATTATTACGTTTATTGCCGCCAATTCTGATTACTATATGAATTTCATGTCAAAGGATACTATAATACAATTTTTTTGAATTTAACAATTTAGCTTTAAAAAGTAACATAAAATTTTCATCCTTTCACACGTTTGATGGTTACTTTTAAAATTAAGATTTTCTGATGATAAATTCTTAGCTTATGTTGGCTTCAGAGTAAAGCTATAGAGTTAAAACTTCCAATAACTTAAAAAAAAAAATCAATGTTATAAAAGCCAAAACTTACATTTTTACATTTAGGGATACAGTTTAATTAAGTAGCACCTGTTTTACAGTTTACTTTTTTTCCAATATGTGACATTTAATTTGCTTCCAAGAAACAGTTTGTTCTGTAGTGCAATAGAATTAAAGCCCGAGTCCTCTGAGAAATAATTAAGAGAAACTGTTACTTATCTTTTGTTCATTGCATATAACTTCTCCAATGGCCACCCAATGCAAGGTGTCTGGCCAGGAATTACATTTGTCTGCACTTACCCATTTCCTACATTTCTTGCTCTTCATCTCAAATAAAGCCAAAGAAAAGAGAGGGCCTCAGAGAAAGGCAATTATTGTAAATGCCACTGAGTATGGTCAGACTTTTTGCCAAAAACAAGTAAAGTCAAAAAAGCTCCATTTCACTTTATTTTCCTGAAAATTTCTTGAATCTTTTATTCTACCTATGTCATTTTTATTCATTCATTGACCCAAATTAAATTTTCCCTGCAGATTTTTACCCCACTAAGACCGTCTAAAAATATGTACAAATAAACACATCTATGAAACAGAAACAGACTCACAGACATAGAGAAGAGACCTGTGGTTGCCAAGGGTGGGAGTGGGGGAGGGAAGAACTGGGAGTCTGTGATTAACAGATGCAAACTATTATATATAGAATGGATAAAAAACAAGATTCTACTGTATAGCACAGGGAACTATATTCAATAGCCTGTAATAAACCATAACGGAAAAGAATATGAAAAAGAATATATATGTATAACTGAATCAATTTGCTGTACAGAAGAAATTAATACAACACTGTAAATCAACTGAATCAACTGAATTTTTTAGATTCAATAAAATTTTAAAAAAATACGTAAAAATATTTCAGCTAAAAGCTCCAATCCTCATAAACAAAACCAACAAACCTCTAGCCAGGCTCACCAAGAAGAAAAGAGAAGAACTAAATAAAATAAGAAATGAAAGAGGAGAAATAACAACCAATACTGGAGAAACAAAAAAAATCATAAGAGAATACTATGAACAGTTATATGCCAATGAAATGGACAACCTAGAAGAAATGGACAAGTTTCTAGAAACATACAGCCTGTCAAAACTTAATCAAGAAGAAACAGATACTCTGAACAGACCAATCACTAAAACAGAATCTGTAATTTAAAAGACTCCCTGTAAACAAAAGTCCAGGATGAGATGGCTTCACTGGGGAATTCTACCAAACACACAAAGAAGAACTCATACCAATCCTTCTCAAACTCTTCCAAAAGACTGAAGAGGAGGGAACACTCCCAAAGCCATTCTATGAAGCCACCATCACCCTGATACCAAACCAGACAAAGACACAACAAAAAAAGAAAATTACAGGTCAATATCTTTGATAAATATAGATGCAAAAGTCCTCAACAAAATATTAGCAAACTGAATCCAACAATACACAAAAATGATCATACACCCATGATCAAGTCAGATTCATTCCAGGGTCACAAGGATGGTTCAACATAACACTAATCAATCAATGAGATACACCATATTAACAAAAGAAAAGACAAAAACCACATGATTATCTCAACAGATGCAGAAAAAGGATTTGATAAAATTCAACATCTGGACTTCTCAGATGGCGCAGTGTTTAAGAATGCACCTCCCAATGCATGGGACACAGATTCGATCCCTGGTCTGGGAAGATCCCACATGCTGCGGAGCAACTAAGCCTGTGCACCACAACTACTGAAGCCCGCACACCCAAGAGCCTGCATGCCACAAATACTGAGCCCATGCGCTGCGACTACTGAAGCCCGTGTACTCTAGGGTCCACGTGCCGCAACTACTGAGCCTGCATGCTGCAACTACTGAAGCCTGCATGCCTAGAGCCCATGCTCCGCAACAAGAGAAGCCACCGCAATGAGAAGCCTGTGCACCACAACGAAGAGTAGCCCCTGCTCACTGCAATTAGAGAAAGCCCTTGTGCAGCAATGAAGACCCAATGCAGCCAAAAAATAAATAAGAACAAAACAAAACAAAACAAAACAAGACTCAACAACCATTCATAATGAAAGTTCTCACCAAAGTGGAAATTAACATATCTCAACATAATAAAACCACTTACGACAAACCCACAGCCAACATAATACTCAATGGTGAAAAGCTGAAAGCCTTCCCACTAAAATCTGGAACAAGACAAGGATGCCTACTCTTACCACTTCTATTCAACAGTGTTGGAAGTCCTAACCCAGCAATTAGACAAGAAAAAGAAATAAAAGGTATCCAAATTGGAAAGGAAGAGGTAAAACTGTCATTGTATGCAGAAGAAATGATACTCTATATAGAAAAATCCTAAAGACTCCACACAAAAACTATTAGAACTAATAAATGAATTCAGCAAGGTAGCACGATACAAGATAAATATAGAAAAATCTGTTACATTTCTTCACATTAACAATGAAATATCAGAAAGTAAAAAAAAAAAATCCCATTTAAAATCAGCTCAAAAAAAAAATAAACCTAGGAATAAACCTAATCAAGGAGGTGAAAGACCTATACGCTGAGAACTCTAACACTGATAAAGGAAACTGAAGATGATTCAAAGAAATGGAAAGGTATCCCATGCTCTTGAAATGGAAGAATTAATATTGTTAAAATGGCCATACTACCAAAAGCAATCTACAGATTTAATGTGATCCTTTATCCAATTACCTATGACATTTTTCACACAGCTAAAACAAATAATCCTAAAATTTATATGGAACCACAGAAGACCTAGAATTGCCAAAGCAATTCTCAGGAAAAAGAACAAAGCTGGAGGTATAACCCTCCCAGACTTCAGACAATACTACAAAGCTATAGTAATCAAAATAGCATGGTATGGGCACAAAAACAGACATATAGATCAATGGAACAGAATAGAGACCAGACATAAACCCACACACCTCTGGTCAATTAATCTTCAACAGAGGAGGCAACAATATACAATGGAGAAAAGACAGTCTCTTCAGCAGGTGGTTCTGGGAAAGCTGGACAGCCACATGCAAATCAATGAAATTAGAACACTCCCTCAAACCATACACAAAAATAAACTCAAAATGGCCTAAAGACTTATATATAAAGCATGACACCATAAAACACCTATAAGAGAACATAGGCAAAACATTCTCAGACATTAATCATAGTAATATTTTCTTAGATCAGTCTTCCAAGGCAAAAGAAATAAAAACAAAAACAAACAAATGGCACCTAATCAAACTTATAAGCTTTTGCTCAGCAAAGAAACTCATAGGAATGCAAGAGATTTCTGTGCATTAATTTTGTATCCTGCTACTTTACCATCATTGATTAGCTCTAGTAGTCTTCTGGTAGCATCTTTTCTTTTTGTTTTGTTTTGTTCTTTGTTTTTTTGTTTTTGGCGGCGTTGGGTCTTTGGTGCTGCACAGTGGGCTTTCTCTAGTTGAGGCGAGCGAGGGCTACTCTTCATTGCGGTATGGGGGCTTCTCACTGTGGTGGTTTCTCTTGTTGCAGAGCACAGGCTCTAGATGTGTGGGCTTCAGCAGTTGTGGCTGGCGGGCTCTAGAGTCCAGGCTCAGTAGTTGTGGCGCATGAGCTTAGCTGCTCCACGGCATGTGGGTTCTTCCCAGACCAGGGCTCGAACCCGTGTCCCCTGCATTGGCAGGCGGATTCTTAACCACTGCGCCACCAGGGAAGGCTTCTGGTAGCATCTTCATGATTCTCTATGTATAGTGTCATGTCATCTGCAAACAGTGACAGTTTTACTTCTTCTTTTCCGATTTGGATTCCTTTTATTTCTTTTTCTTCTCTGACTGCTGTGGCTAAAACTTCCAAAACTATGTTGAATAATAGTGGTGAGAGTGGGCAGCCTTGTCTTGTGCCTGATCTTAGAGGAAATGGTTTCAGTTTTTCACCACTGAGAACGATGCTGGCTGTGGGTTTGTTGTATATGGCCTTTATTATGTTGAGGTAGGTTCCCTCTATGCCTGCTTTCTGGAGGGTTTTTATCATAAATGAGTGTTGAATTTGGTCAAAAGCTTTTTCTGCATCTATTAAGATTATCATATGGTTTTTATCCTTCAGTTTCTTAATGTGGTGTATCACATTGTTTGATTTGCATAGCAAGATACAAAATTAATGCACAGAAATCTCTTGCATTCCTATACATCAATGATGAAAAATCTGAAAGAGAAATTAATGAAACACTCCCATTTACCACTGCAACAAAAAGAATAAAATACCTAGGAATAAACCTACCTAAGGAGACAAAAGACCTGTATGCAGAAAACTATAAGACACTGATGAAAGAAATTAAAGACAATACAAACAGATGGAGACATATACCATGTTCTTGGATTGGAAGTATCAATATTGTGAAAATGACTATACTACCCAAAGCGATCTACAGATTCAATGCAATCCCTATCAAACTACCAATGGCATTTTTCACAGAACTAGAACAAAAAATTGCACAATTTGTATGGAAACACAAAAAACCCCGAATAGGCAAAGCAATCTTGAGAAAGAAAAATGGAGCTGGAGTAATCAGACTCCCTGACTTCAGACTATACTACAAAGCTACAGTGATCAAGACAGTATGGTACTGGCACAGAAACAGAAATATAGATCAATGGAACAGGATAGAAAGCCCAGAGATAAACCCATACACATATGGTCACCTTATCTTTGATAAA